ATTTGGATTTTATTTATATGATTTCCAAATTTGTATAAATAATTTCCAAATTTTTACGTGTCCTTGGTCTCCACAATTAGGTCCTTTTCCTCTGATTACTCTTCTGGTGGCCTGGTTAGTAGAGTGCCTTGCTAAATACTTCGGTCCTGTTCAGATATCTGCTTTTCTAGTAATAGTCCTTTATATAGTACTGTCGAAGATCTGTGCTACCTCTCTACTCAGGTCTTGCCAAGCATGCATCCAATTGTCCTGGTTCTTTGGGTTTACAATGATCTAAGAACTTATTTGTATAACCTATATATTGCACAAATACCCTATGATCTTTCAATCTTGTTGGTGCCACCAAGATTACAGAAATCCCATTCCAACTAATCGACAGACGATAGTAGCATTATACAAGTAGAATTTTCAAAATTCGTTGACAGTGGGTTTCGAACCCCTACCTATTCAACATACCGCTTGGGTGCGACAACTTAACCACTTCACTAAGGCACCACACCCTTTGGCACAAATATCTTTAAATCGTATAGTATATAATAATATTAATAATAATCACAAATATCTTAAAGTTATAATGGATGTCCCAACAAGATGAGATTCAACATATTTAGCGTGAGTGAGAATTTTAAAATTAAAGTTAGCAATTAAAGTAATATAATTAATGATGAGTCATAGTAAAGATCCTATAGTTAGAAAAGATACATGACGTTTTAAATAAATTATGCTACCACTTGATAAATGGCAATTGATAATAGATTTAGTTAAAGTTTTACAATCTTTCGCTAATACTACGAAGATGCTTGGTGGAAGTGAATATGCGACAATGTCGTATATGTTTCTTGCTATATCATCTCTTAAAAAATTGCTTAATATTACATGTGATGCTCAGTTTAATCCGGATCTTGACAACTCTGATACAGTTTTTGATAACAATCAAGAGTTTCAAGAAGAAATTGATCTTATTGATGAATCTGAAATGCTTGATATTGAATCTGAAACAAAAATTAACCAAACCAAGATTAATACTCACAAGTCTGTAACGGAATAGTTGAAAATATAAAAATGGTATTATTTAATGCATTAAAT